CCGAGTATATAGGACCCAAGAATATCATATTTTATATAGAACCAAGCGTAAGCAAACAACCCAGGCAGCATGTCCAACTTTCAGTCGTAATCTGAGCGATTGCAAGTCGCTTCTAGTCCGTAAGATCCCCGATTACCAGCCGCTCTCTCTTTCGGTTAATTTCTTTCCGGTATCCCACGTCTCTGCAAGGAGGTCATTATTGGTGTAAGGCAAACTTTTGAAGAAGGCAACCTTAATGATTAAATATGTATTTAGATACTCCTAAGGTACCAGCTAATGTCAAAATACTTTAATAAAACCGAATTCAAAATTGCAAGTATTGAAATTTCGCCGACTACTTCTCATCTTGGATGGGTTTTGTGGCTTCGAATTATGGTAGTAAAGTAAGTGTGCTCTCTGCTCTACAATAAAAATGCGTTGGTTTCTTGTGTTTTTAGATTGGTTTATATTCTGGATATTAATACACTTTTAAGACATATAGACTAAATTCTTACTGCTATGTTTACACTGCGTTTGGTGGCTATATATTTATGCTAGGTTTTGAATAAACATTTTAAACACGCACACCAAATTTCAAACTCGTATTTATATCTGTAAATCCATGCGCTGATCAATTTTGATGTGGGTGCGAGTGTATTAATGTTAAAAAATAGTTGCCATAACCGATAGAAATAGGAAAGGAAGGGGATAACACAAAAAAGTAGAAAAAGAATCATTTACAATACAAATTAAGGGCGAGTGCTTATATACAGAGTGTTTGAGTCTAGTTTTTAACTAAAACTAACGTATTTTTCCGTTTGCAGTTGCATAGTTTTGAATATATTACGCTTAGAACTAGATTTAAAGTTGAGGCGCTGCTTCTCTTTGAATACAAAGAAACCCTGCTTTTTAAAGGATTTTCAACTTTCCGCTTATCTCTTTTAGTTTATCTAAAAAGGCCTCAATAACAACTTAATATAATAAAATACTAACATTTACAGCGTTTCGTTTTGAAAAGAGAGATAATAAATAAACTAAGAGTTTAAAAATATCAAAACGGGATTGGGCATAAGGGGCATAAGGAGAGTGTTGTAAAGCAACGACTGTCAGATCTCTAAAGCCTCGAATTGAGTAAACTAGTGGTCCTAGTTCCGGCTTCATTTCTTGAAAACTTCGTGATACCGGAATAGAAGTGTTCTCATATTTTAAATAAATAACAAGTAAACGTTGTATCATTTCCGATTCCACTACATTTCCGGGGAATGAAATTGGTAACATGGCCCTCTGCATCGATTTCGGAGCTTCTCTGGACATTGTTTCTGTTGTGTTGTGTTTACAAGTTGGTTTAAATTTCATTTAAAATAAATACTACACTACTAGCAGGGCTAAGATTACGTTTACACTGTTGCTAACTGTCCTGGAGGCGGACTCTCATCAGATCTTTCCATTTGGGTCTGCTGCTCACTTTCCTCGCTTGGTCGCCGCTTCTTCAAGGGTGGGATTTCCGTCTCAATAGCGGGCGATGGGATGACCGTTGGCTGCTGTTCTATAATGCGGGCGGGTCTTTTCTGGCCGGGACTGCTGTTGGGCACCGGTTCGTTGGATCCATTCACTATATCGGTGACTATGTGAGCCTCCAGTGATGGCGGGAGCAATGGTGACAATGGAACGGCGTTCAGATCGCAGGCATCCTCATCTTCATCCTTATAGTTGGGCGCCACATTGCCAAAGAGATCACTGTGTCTATTGTGTACTCTTTCCTCTTCTTCGTCATCATCATCGCTGTAATCGTTGTCCCAGAAAACCTGGGCTCCTGGAAACACATACGAATAGTTGTTGGTGTGGGAATAGAATGTTCCAGGCTGCAGGCGCTCGGCTGCTGTCTGTCGCTTTCCCCTCTGTTGTGGAATGGGCGTCAGGCTGGGCGCCACTGTCTTGGTCTCCTGAACAAGATTGCTGGGTCGCACGTAGCTAGGCGTGGCTTCGTTGTCACACTGCTCGATGCCGCTATCCTTGGAGGAATCAATGGACAGATGGCGATAACTCTCAACCGGTGTCTGAGGGGCTCCGATGCCCAGACGATCGCAACTTAGGGCGCTGGTCTCATTCAGCTCCACCAGTATGTCTGTTTTAATCCGTTCAATGGCTGCCGCTTCGGCGGCAGTGGAACGCTTTCCACAGCTAAAAGTGGATGACTCAAATCCACTATCCGAGCAGGTGCCAGCTGATCCCAGAATGTAGTCCGCCGAACTATTTGACTTGATAGACTGCGTATCCGTGTCCAGTTGCGATTGCCGCTCGCTCTCTGAACTGCAGTGGCGATGGTGATGTAGATGGTGACTGACATGATGATGGTGGTGGTGATTTGAGTGCTCTGGAGGCATAAGCTCCTTGCTTTCGGTAAGCACTGAATCATCGCAGCACAGCTGCTGCCAGCAATCATCGTTGTCCGACAACCTGTGGCAAATCTGGTTGATAATAACATCGGAGTCGCCCAGCAGCTCCACGTCGAATTTTAGGTGATGCAGCTGCTCACGGTTGATAAGGATCTGCGGCACCGTGGCCGGTATGCTGCTGGGAATGTGGGCCACAGGTCGGACCTTCAGCGAGGAGCCGATCACGATCAACAGATCGCACACGTCCTTGTCAGTGGCCATGACCGTGTGGTATTCGTCCGGCAGTCCTGTTGGCAATAGGAAAAGCAAACACAATATGATATATGGTATTTAGCGTTATTTTGTATTTGGAATAGTTTATCTCTTAAAATCTTGGAAAAAATTTGATATTCACTTAAGTAAACACTCATTTTGATCGTCGAATTTAAAGCTCTAGCATTTATTTGACCAAGCCTATTGATTATATATAATAAATCTGTATTTAAATGGCACCTACCCTCGCCGAAGAAGACGATATCTGGCTTCATGATGCCGTTCTCGACCAGCTGACGCAGCTCCTCCTCGGTAACAGCTACCGAGGCGTCCACGCTCTGCTCCTTATTTGGCTGGCATTGAGGGCACACCGGAATCCGCTGGGCAAATATGTCCGCACGCAGGGCGTCAGCGTTGCACTTAAAACGGCATTTGGTGCATGAGGCCGTTGAAAAGGAACCGTGACACTCGATTACTCGCTGAATGCCAGCCACCCGCTCCAGGGTGTCGATGTTCTGGGTGTAGTTGCGCAACAGTTTACCCTTGGTCTCCAGCATCTTGATGAACCGATGGCAGGGCGAGGGCTGAAACTCGCCGGGATATATCTCGCGGGCAAACTTGTAGAACGGGCGTGGATCCCTCTTAAAGTAGTTGATATCAAACATGGCCTGCGGATCGGGCAGATCGGGAAAATCATGGGCCAACCGCGCATATATGCCATTGGTTGAGCGGAAGTCCGGAATGCCGCAGGAGACAGATACCCCTGCTCCCGTTAGCACAATGATCTTCTGTGATTTCTTGACCAAACTGATGACATCGTCGAAGGTGTTCACAGAGGCGAGCTTGTTGCGCCGCTTGGGCTCGTTCAACAGGTGGGCCAAATAGTCCCACAGCACGGAGTCGTCGGTGTCGGCCGCAAGACCGGAGGCGAAATGCGGCATAATGCTGGCAATAACCTGGCGCGGCACACGGCCTGTGTAAAATTCTCGTTGCAGCCAGCGTAGCTTCCAGTCGGGCCCCACCGATGAGGAGCAGTCGGAGCTAGAGTCTTCGTCCTCGTTGCTCGTTCCGGTGACCTCCTCTTCATCGTCCTCCTCCTCCTCGTCGTCATCTTCCTCATCCTCGTCATCATCATCATCTTCGCCCATTGACTTTGTTAGATTTTTGGTTTTATGCTCCAAATTGGCGCCAATCTCTTGTTCTTCCCTGGCAGCCAATGTTTTTGTTTTGATTTCACTATTTGCTTTGCCAGCAAGTTCGCTTGTTGCTGTTTCTGTTGTTGTTGCTGTTGTTTCCACATCTGCCTCTGTTGACGTTGAGGCCAGAATTTCGGCGCCAAAATCAAACTTAGCTGGCGGATAGAATTGCGGAGCGTCTGGCACCTGGTTGCCCAGATCCTTAGACCTTATGTGGCCCAGGCGAATTTCCTCGTAATTTTCCATCATTTTTTCCCCAACCGAAAAGCGCGCACACGCGCACACACAGACTCACGGAGAGAAAACTCTCGTAGTTGGTGCTGCTGCTGGCTCTTCTTCTTCCTGCGCGAGTGTTTCCTCGGTCTTTTCGCTTTGCGCTCTCGCCTCGTCCGTTTTCTCCGCTCTTTCGTTGGTACACACAAAAATTTTTACGTCGTCAGCTTCTCACCCATTTGGCTTGATTGAAAAAATTCTCCAGCGATCTTTTGGCGGCGCTTTTTTCAACCAACCCGACTTTATTTCACGTATTTTCACGAAACTTAAATTTTAAAAAAATTTCGAAACCATTTGGTCGCGAATTTTCGTAATTTTCGGGCGTAATTTCTGGAAAATTTTCCGATGAAAAAGCAAGATGGCACACGTAGCTGCGCCTGTGTGTGTATGTGCGCTGGTGGACGTGATTCGGGTGGGACCCTGACACGTAGTGTCGAAAGCGCTAACGCGTTTTCGCATGGAAAGTGCCGCCAGCATGACTCATCTCGGTATTTTTCTGGTATTTTTCAGTATCTAAGAGGGTTGATTTCGTGCTGCTACAGTAGTCACTGCCAGCTGAAAGACATATATAATCAATTTCCTTAAAATGTGTAACATTCAGTTTGAATAATTTGTCAAAAGTAAATGAAATTAAATTTAAACTCTGCTTCTATATTTTTGTTACCATATTTTTACTTATGATATATACTCTATATATTTAAAACTAAGCAGAAATCATTTATATGGTATATATTAACACATTTCATTTGGTAAGATAATAAAATTGATGTTTGCATATGTTGAAAATTGTTTACCATAATAATTAAGTTGTCAATTACAAAAATGTGTAAACAGCTTTCCAGAACGTTCTTGCAAGTGCCTACTGTTCCCAAAATAGGCAGCGATTCTAAGTATTTATCTGGTACTTTCCCCAAATTTATAGTTTTTTGGTCTCACTTGGGCATACTTGCCACCCAATATGACTTGAAAATATTGTCATAAATACATTGTTAAATAACTTAATAAGTCGTACACTTACAATGTACAAACTATTTTAGTTTGTAGGGGGACTGGGGTTCAATAGGAAATGGACAACCTAAATTTATACGAGGTTCTCGGAGTGGCTCCGGATGCAACTGATGATGAAATTAAAAAGGTACATATCCAACAGTCCCAATTCGATTTGTTGGTAAATATATTGTATCACCTTTTCTCCAATAGAACTACCGAAAATTGGCCAAAGAGTTCCATCCAGACAAGAATCCCGATGCGGGCGACAAGTTCAAGGAAATATCCTTCGCCTACGAAGTACTGTCCGATCCCGAGAAGCGTCGCATCTACGACCGTTACGGATTGAAGGGCCTGCAAGAGGGCGCCGATGGATTCTCTGATGCCTCCGATTTCTTCGCCCAATGGTTCCCTTTCGATCGGGCCTCACCCGGAGGTCGGGGCAGGCGCAATGGCAAAGTCGTGGTGAAGGTGGAGCTGACTCTGGAAGAGATCTATGTCGGCGGCATGAGCAAGAAGGTGGAGTACCAGCGCCAGAAGCTGTGCTCGAAGTGTAACGGCGACGGCGGTCCCAAGGAAGCGCACGAGAGCTGCGAGACCTGCGGTGGGGCTGGACGAGCGGCCGCATTTACCTTCATGGGTCTCAGCCCCTTCGATACGGTATGAAAGATGGTTAATTTGGAATTGATTATAGTTATTCGGAATGCAAGAGACGACTAATACCACATACCTTATAACAAAAATGTAATTATTTCAATATTTTTTCAGACCTGTCCGACTTGCGATGGGAGGGGCTTCACCATAAATAACGACAAGAAGTGCAGTCCCTGCCAGGGCAGTGGTTTTGTAGAGCAGAAGATGAAGCGGGACTTGGTCGTGGAACGAGGGGCAACGCACATGCTAAAGGTTCCCTTCGCAAATGAGGGACACCAAATGCGAGGCGGCGAGTTCGGGGATCTGATAGTAGTCATATCCCAGCTGGAGCATCCACTATTTCAGCGCCGCCATGCAAATCTGTACATGCGGGACCTAGATATCAACATCACCGAGGCGTTGTGCGGCTACACGCATTGCTTTAAGCACTTGGATGGACGGAACGTCTGTCTGCGCACCTACCCGGGTGAAGTGTTGCATCACAACCAAATCAAGATGGTGCGAGGCAGTGGCATGCCCGTTTTCAACAAGTCCAGCGACAGTGGAGATCTCTACATGAAGTTTAAGGTTAACTTTCCGGGCAACGACTTTGCCACGGCACCGCAGCTCGCCATGCTGGAGGATTTACTTCCTCCCAGACAGCCGATTGCGATCCCAAAGAACGCCGAGGAAGTGCAAATGATGGACTATAAGCCGCAGCCGCGACAGCAGGAGGACGAGGACGGACAGTCGTCTCACTTTGAGGGCGTACAGTGCCAGACGGCTTAGTGCCTGTGGTTGTGGCTCCTGCAAGCGCGGTTTCTCTGCCTCGATTTGTGGCTCATACTGGGCACTTTCGGCGTAGATGAAGTCTGTTTCCTGGTGCCGCTGTTCGTCCTGATATGCATAGTATTATTTTTCATACAGGAATGTTTGCTGTGAAAAAAGCGCGTGATCTAAATTCGTAGTGTTATTATTCGAGACTAAAGCTTAGCTGATCTGATCTTCAATAGATGCGTCATCAATAAAATAGCCACTCTAAATTATCTACTTATTTATTGTTAAAAATTTTTTGTGGGCTTAACTTGCCTTAATTATCCCTACAAATCAATAAACCAATATACAATAGTCTCTCCATAGTTACTTCTCTTATAGGAATCTTAAAAATCGAAAAAATTCATTTCATTTCGTTATTGAAACATATGTTGAAATAATATATATTTTGTAAAACTGTTGAGATAAATGTGATATTTTTCTTGCCAGCTTCTATATTTATCCAAAAAAAAATGTTGAAATTTCCAGTTAATGTAAAATGGTTAGAGAGAATTAAGGAATCAAATATGCGTTCTAATCGCTTTCATTGGATTCATGAAGGTCATCAGTGGATGTCGTTTCGTCTGATTGACCACCATCTGACTTGGTCAAATCCAGAGGCGACTCTTTGGAAATTGGCTTGGTGGTCAATGTGGACAAGGTGGACAAGGGTTCTAAATTTGTAAGCCACTTGGCGCATTTGGCCCCCTCTTGTGGCTTCCTGTCGCTGTTACTTGCTAGCTCTTCCGAGTGGTCATCCCTAGGCTTCCGTAGATCCAGTGCAGAGGTCGAGTGAGCACTGTCCACCATCTCAATGGTCTCCTCCGTTTCCATGGGATGATGGTCGACTAGCTTCTCCGGCGGCATCACAATCATTTCACCCGTGCGCATTCCCTTGGAATCGGCCAACTGTTCAGCGCTTACCTTCATCATAGTCAGATACTGGTTGTACTTGGCGTAGTTGCGCCTCCCGGTCTCATCGTTCATTAGCACCTGGGCCTGGTTATGGGATCTGTCGCGGATGGCCTTCAAGCGGATGTGCTTGGTGATGTCCCAGCGCCAGTTGGAGCGATAGGCGCACAGAGAGCATTCAAAGGGCTTCCTATTCAGATGACCAACGATGTGGACATGGAAGCGAGATGCAGTGGCGGCCCAAAAAGTGCAATGAGGACACTTAAAAACCTTCTTCAATGGTGCCGAATCATCGGATTCCTCCGGCAAAACTTCTGTGACCTGAAAACAATGGAATAAGATACGTATTCTGCTTATAAAAACTATTACTGGTAAATTAAGAGCTTACCTCTCCATAGCCCGGAGCTGTTTCTACGCCGCAATAGTTAAGATCAGTGGGAGGAGTGGGAAAGTCCTCATCGGAAGGATCCACTTCCCCGTTGAGAGAACCCTGCAGTTGGGTGGTGTTCTGCAAGGCTGAAGTGCACACTTGTAGATGGTTGATCAACTGGATGGCATTGGCCACCCGCTTTTGGCAGTGTGAGCAAACGATCCCCGAAGGCTGGGGAACAGGAGATTCAGCTGCTGCAACGGAAGGACGAACTTTTACCGTTTCCGGTTTCATGGAACCACTTGGCCGCTGATCCTCTGCCTCATCTCGACGTCTGTTGCCCATTTGGGTACCCACCGTGGGCACATGATGGTTTAATTCGTGTATGGTCAGCGATTGCTTGATATCCGTGCTAAAGTCACAGGCTGAGCACTTGAAATGGCCATTGGCACCATGGTTCTTGGTGTGCCGGTCCAGATTCCACTTGTAAGGAGTGTGAAAATCACATGAGCTGCACTTGATCAGCGGCATGGAGTGGTACTTGACGTGCTTCTTGAATCTGGCCCGGATGGGTGTGCTATACGAACACTTCTGGCATTGAAACTGCTCCACACCCGGCTGCAGTTCACGGTTATCCGGCGAAGGACTCTTCGGGGGACCCTCGGAATCGGAGCTGCTGTTGTGCTCGTCCGATTTCAAGGCTTCTGCTTGTTTGGGCGTCATCATCTTGGCCTGGTACTCGTAGGCCATGGAGAATATGTTGTCGTGCCTCTCGACGATCTGCTGGAGCTGCAGCATATCCTGCTGCTGATTGTACGCCTGGACACTGGCCAATAGCTGCTTCTCCTGCTGCTGCAGCTCCATTTTAAGCTGCTCCAGTGGTGGTCCATTCTGGATCATGCGCTGTAGGCTGGGGTCCATGCATTGCCCAGTGGCACCCTGGCCTTCAATGCTCTCCTCCAGACGACGCTTGCGCACCTCCCTGGATAGATTTCGCTTTCCCTGCGTCTGAGCACTTAATCCCTGCACTCCGCCGCTATCATCCGAACAGCCGTGCACCATTTTCATGTGCCGCACCAGCTTCTGAAAGTGGCGTGAGGCGTAGAGGCACAACTTGCACTCATTGATCACAATTCGCTCGCCATGGACGTCGCGAAGATGGGAGAGATGACTGCGTGGATTTTGGGTGAAGAAGGCGCACTGGTTGCAGCTGTAGTTACGCCGTATCTTGCACTGGGGCAGCTCCTCCTCGTTGATGGTCGGATTGCCCTCTGGCAGTGTGTTCTCCATATTCTCCTTGGCCAGGTCCACAGGTTCTGCAGTTTCCGAGGGAACAAAACCGGGCACCGATATTGGAAAAATGAAGTTGTTCGCCTTGTACTGCTCCAGAAAATCCGGACCTATAAGCGGCTGCAAGCTTTGCGACATTGGCAGCCCCGCAACTGCTCCACCCTCAAAGGATGACTGGTAAAGTGGAGCTCCATTTACCAAGCTGCGCACCACCAGGCGATCACCTGACCGCTCCACCATGGATGATAGCTCCATGACTCGACAAAATTGCAGCAATTCGATTTTTCACAAAACACTTTTCTTCTGTCCGGTGCAAGATCTCCTGTAAGACTGATACACTTTTCCAATGGTCTGCTAGACTTCTTTCAGTTCTTTCAAGGGCTACTTCGGTAATCGGCTAAATGACAGAAAAAGAGTTATCAGGTATGTGAGATGTTCAAATGGCATATAAAATATATTTAGTTCTTACCAAGTTTAAGGGTAAGAACAAACGACCACTTACAACAGGTTCTGTGTCTCATTTATTTAATATTTTATAAAAATACCAATATGTTTTTTCTCCACATAACCAAATTCTAAAAGTCTAAGATTCGCTTCTGGTTTGCCAAAAAAAAAAACTTATGGTTCCGGTTCAAAGTCCGGTTCGTTCCTTTGGAAAAAAGTGGATTGGAATCTGAGTGTTTCAGCTCCGCACTGGTTCACATCATTCTAGTAACACATCACATCACTAAATATTCAAAATTTTCTCTAATTTATCATTTTTGCACCTAAATATAAATTTTGTATAGAAGTTATTTAACAGGTCAACAGGATTAGCCATAATTGCATTCAAATGTTAATCGCACGTCAACGAAATGATACTTAACATTATTTAATTATAAATTTGTATATATATTTTTTCTGCCAACCAGCATAATAAAATAATAATAACGTAATAACCAGCAACATAACATCTGTATCAATAGGACTATCTATCTATTTTCTTAACATCTTAAAAAATCCCTGTCATTGCTTATTTATTTTGTAAGTCTGCTAGACTTCTTCAAAGGCTGCTACCACCGAATACTTATCCTCCAGCGAAGACAAATGGATCGGCAAAAGATTGACCCAAAGTTTTGGATCTGTTCCCATCTCCTGGCTGGTGAAGTTGAACAGAGGCGGCAGTGGATTGCCATTGGGCATGCGCAGCCCCAGGGCGTCCATGATGCGCAGTTCATCGTATAAGCCATGAGCACATGCCATCATGGGTGAGATTCTAGCCGCGGACTCGTAGATCAAGCATGAGTTCAAGAGATCGGACAGGTCCAGCGGAACAGCCGCACCCAGGAGGAGATCCCAACTGGGCCGGGTAGTTCGAGGATGCAGTGAATTGCCACACTTTGAGCGAATTTCAGGAGCTAGTTCCAAGCCATCGCTGCCCAGCATATTAACGATGAGACGCAGCTGCTTCCGCTCGTGTTTGTGGCTGGAAAAGAGGGGGGAGCCCTTGAGCAGCTCCGCCAGGACGCAGCCAGCACTCCAGATGTCCACGGCACAGGTATAAAGTTCGCAATCGGCGAAAAGCTCGGGAGCACGATATAGCCGGGAGCAAATGTAACTCTGGCTGGGCTCCTGGGGCACCAGGTGCTTGGCGCTGCCAAAGTCACTTAACTTGAGCACCATCTTCTGGTTGTCCATCAGCAGATTCTCAGGCTTGATGTCCCGGTGGCAGATGCCCAATAGATGGAGATAACCCAATCCCCTGAACAGCTGGTACGAGAGTATGCGGACATTGATTAGAAGTTCTGCGGGCTGTTGCTCCCTCAGGTGATAGTTTATGTAGTCCAGCAAAGTCATCGGCATGTACTCCATGACTAGCATAATGTAGTCCCTTGGAGGAACGCCCAAGTTTACGCAGGAGTGCATGATCAGCTGGACTATGTTGTTGTGGTCCCTTAGCTGGCCCATAATCTCTGCTTCGCGCTGGCAGATCCTAGGATTGTAAAGGGTCTGCTTCACGGCCACCAACTCCTCGGACCCGTTTAGTTGAGCCCGGTACACACGGCCAAAGGATCCACTCCCTATCAGTTCCTTAATCTCAATCCTCGCCGGAACAGGTTCGGAGCCCAGGCGACCGATGGCATAGCTGCTGACCACCGAGTCCTTGGGAATGATGAGGGGAACTTGAGTCTGGCGTTTTGAGGTCTTTGGCTTCTTTTCCTTAAGTTCTGAAGTGGGAGAGAGGGATTTGAAGGAAATCCTAAATAATGATTGTCCGTACAAATTGATTTAATACCCATTTTTAAGTATTGCGGAAAACGACTACTCGTAGTTATTTCTCCAATAAAAGTTGCAAGTTAATGGCTAGAAAGGAATAGTAGGAAAGGCACGACTGTCAATTTCCTTGGGACCTTGCCACCTTGTTAGATTTCAAAAGTCGTGTCATATAAGTGTTGGAAACTTTAAATATAGTAGAATAAGAAACAAGCAAACTTATCTTTTGAAACAGCAGACAATGATTTATGTATTCGTAAAGTATTAAAATTAAATAAAGTAATACAATTCAGCTTCTGTCGGTTTTTATTATTTAAAAATATGTTGACTCAACATTAAATTGAAATTACATTAAATGAAATGAAAAGCGGAAAAACAACTTCAACTATTCGACACATTCATTTCGATTCTGTTTCTGCCAGCGGAAAGTCAAAAGTGGATTATGTATATGGGGCAAAGTCTTTAATGCGATAAAAAGTCGGTCGTCAGTTCGAGCCATTATCATTTCCGCCTTAGCTGCAACTGTCTCTATCCCTCTTTCTCGTCCTTCATCTAGACCTCTCTGTCGCTCTTTTGTGGAAAACCCATGACCCCACCACACCGCCCTCCTTCAAAGTTTATGGACCATGCATTTGCGGAAATGTCGCCTGCCAGTATACTCGCTTTTACTCTGCGGTTCAGAGTTGGAATTCATGTAATTCCATTAACACAGACAACTTCCGCTGGAAGAGAAAAAGGACGAGCACTCACACTAATGGCCGCTGCGTGTGTGTGTATGTGTGTGTGTGTGCGTGGGAGGGTGTGCTGGATTTTGGGGCGGTGTATTTGCTCAAACGGATTCCGTGGCGAAATCCTTAGATAGTGATGACACCGATTATGCTGCCAGAATAAAAAAGTGAGATATGTTATTGAACACTATTAGTTCAAAGTTTTATTAGCCCCTTTTAATTCGATTTTCGAAGTAAAATATTTGCTTATAAAGGGGTTTCGGAACTGGGATGTTGGGATAAAGAAACATGGCATACTTTTAGGCGAGCACTAAAACTAGATTAATATAATAAGATAATACATTTACATATTTGATTTTGAAATAATAACAATAATAACATTTGATTTGAAATAATTAACAATGCGTGACATCTTGTCAGTGTGGACTATGTTTACGAATTACCAAGCGCAACTATTGAGCATCTCTGAGCAAACCTAAGTAAACATAACTCCCCACTTCGGCTCGCATCCTTTTTGGTAATTAAAACTAAATTCCAAATCCAAATGGCACATTTTACGATGGCATAAATCTGTGTCCGCGCAACAGGTCCTCATCAGGACCTCTACACCCCATTCGTCCGTAAAATCGCCTTGGGAAGCAATGAAAAACTTGCAAACGGAAATGACTGTCAGGCCAAAAGTGCGGAGCATCGCCCATCCGGCCAGACATTTAGGATATCCGTTTAAATAGCATTTTCTCCCTGCTCTATCCATCCTTTTTTCCGGCACTTGCGGATTTTACTTCTTTTTCTGCGGAGGGAACAGCATCCATTGCATAATAATTACAAAGTGGCTGGCTCAGATGGACTCAAATGGATTTAAATGGATGTGCTGTGGATGCTTCGATGTGTGCCGGTACATTTTGCCAGCTCCATGCAAATTAGACGTCAATCGCATTTATCAAAATGGTCTTAATGAACCCCAACTCTTTGCCGGTACGTTCATAAATCAAACCGCACATGTGGCCACTCAAAAAGTTCACTCCTCCATCTAAATCGGGTCATTTATCAATATTTGAACTCCCACTCCCCCACTTGATCAATATTTTTCCCTGTTTGAGCTCGGATGTGTTGGCACATAATGTGATTTGTGCGAAACCCGTTGAGAGATTCGAATCGGCATCATATGCGATAGGATTTGCAGCATTTTGGGCAAATGGGTGGAAAATATGGGCCAAAAAAAGGATTAAAATAGAATTATAATTATTAGCTTATTTAATATATTTGTTATAAGTTGTAGGAATTCACAAACATATTTAAGTAGGAATAAATCATTTGTTTGACCTTTAATATCCAGAAATTGCCTTTTAAAAGCCTATAATTTTTGATACGGAAACTATTGGCTTGCACAATAAATTATTACTCGATCGTACGCGATTGTACTTGTCTTCAGTGCAATGCCAAAATTAACTGCAGAATAAATATTTATATTGGTAAGTACCCTTCGGGTGGAGAGCATTCTTCGACGCTGCTCAATTGGAAAACGTGCCGTATTCTGTTCTCGTGGCCAAGCACTTGACGTCTCAAAGCCAATGGCTTAATGGAAATTCGCGATTCGTGGGAAAATCTTTCAATTGCAATTGCCCCCCAGAACACAAAGCTGTTTAGACTTACCCACTGTATAATTAAGCAAGATTTGAGTGAGTGGGGAATGGGAATGAGCTACACCAATAAGACTCGCGCCTGCCACCGCCCACTATAACAAAATGCAAAGCTCTTGATGCACTGAAAGAAAATACTATACTTAAGTGCATAATATCAATGAAAATATTCAAATAATAAGTGAATAGGTGAAGCATATAAGAGAAATTTGTATACAATTTAATTTGTGTTTTAGGTAGAGTTTCTCTAAGTACAGTGTTCTTGCTAGTGGTTTTCGCTCAGTGCATCTGGTTAGAACTTGGTCGAATGCTTGCTGACTTGGCCGCTGCTGGTGGTTTCGGATTGGTATACACGGTGTATGTGTAGATATAGTCACACCTTCGCGATGCATTGTGCTCTCGGTCTCGGACTCGACCTTGAACTTGGTATTAGATGCGAGGCTCTTCAAAACCGGTTACCGGCTCTCGGAGGCTCTTTGTACTGCAGATTAATGGGCAATGCGCAAGAAATCGGTGACAAGCACCAGGTAATGCCAACAACAAGAAAGCGGCTTAATGAAGGGTAAACTGGAAAACCAATTGCACGCTGGGCTTGCAAGTATTCATGGAATTTAAATTTCAAATAAGCGAACTTTAATCTCGTTCGTTTGGGCTTGTCTCGAAATGATTGCCGTTGATGCGACTTATTTATTTTGTTGTGGAAAATTTGTATTATAAATGCTATAATAATAATATATAGGGGTTTTTTAATAAGGTGTATAACATAAGTGTACAGTGGGAAAATCTTACCTGTACTTAACGTACCTATAGTATATTTTGAACAAAATTATTTGGTTGTTAGTCTACACGAATATTCAGTGTTAATTTCAAATATTTATTTACTGTTACTTCATACTTGCATTACCTTATCAATTTATACTATTTTACATATCAAAAAATTCAGAATTTGTCAAAGTTTACGCAGTATCTATACACATGTGCTTAAGTATTCAAGTGAATAATCATAATTTAATTAGGCGGTTTGCCACTTGTGAGGACATATCGAGTTCAACCCAAATGGAATTTTAAATTTAGCAGAAGGCAATAAATTAAGCCCCTCGGGTAAAGATTAATGGTGAAACACTAATGATGATGAACTTCTATGCTAAAAGGGCAGAATAAGATTACATTTTTGGCACCGTCTCACTGCGCACAGTGATTAATTTTAATTAATTCAAATGGTATTAGATGCAGAGATGGCCATAGGGTAAAATAAAGGAGCTGTGATAATATACATACCTTAAATTAATAAAGGAGTGTCATAAACATGAACATGTGTACTACGATACACATCTTATAAATTAAACAAAAATTAAAGACATATGTTTTTTTTTATATATTTTTTTTTTCTTTTTTCCTGACCTGCTCGACTTATTTATTTTTATTTGAGGCCACGCCCCCGCAGCCTTACACGCACCAACCTGTTGACCGCCAAAAATCCTATTTGCCACGCCCACCGCATTGCGTGCGTGCGCCGCGGGCGGCGGCCAAGTTAAGCGCTGCGAGAAGGCAGATAATTGCAGGTTGGTGTGGAAAAGAGCTAACTGGCTAGCCGGCTAACCGGTTACGAGTGCCTCCTGCTTGCAACTCCATGTGGCTGCGGCCAAAGACAACTGTGCAATTTGTTGCCATTTGGCTGTCGCCCCTTTTCGAGATGCAAGAACCAGGTCAAGGTTGCTCTGCTCCACGGCAGCGAAGATCATAATCGCGTTGCGATCGAACATGTTCGAGGCGAACTGGGGGCTAGCCAACTGTTCCCAGTTGCTGAGAAACTTCGAAATCGCCAAACCCATTCAAAAATGGGTAGTAAAATTCCAAAATTTACTTACGAACTTGTATATTTACTTTACTTAGCAAATTAGCAAATGCGGAAACTAGATGCGGCAACTATTTGGGGTAAAAGATGGTCCATATTTATGGATTTTATAGTCTTACTTTTCATAGATGACCTTTTGTACCTAGATCAGATCAAGAATACATATGGCTTTTACAGTATCAATACAGGATCATATCTCCTCCATTTCTTAAAGATATATAGCCAATTTAAGTGGTGGTTAGTCCTCATTAATTGTGCTTCCTTCAATAAACACATATAGAACATTTTTTCTAAAGCCTAACAAGTTTATATTAAAGTTTATCTCTATTTAATATATTTTTCTCGTTGTAACTTTTCTTGGGATGCTCTTTGTGCTCGAAGCAGAAGATGCGCTTCGCGAAAATCGAGTTTGCAAAGATTGACTGTATGGCATAAGCTTTAATAATTCAAACTGACAGTCGCCAACAGGTAATTTTCGTGTTTTCGGGGAACAAGAAACGGATTTCTTGCTCGCCCCTTTTTTTATCGTACAAATCGCACGCAGCCTGCAAGTTGCTCCGTATTTTAAGACTGTTTTTAATTGCTTCGACTGGTTTATGAGGTGGTCGGGGTTCAAGAGCTCGGAACCAGCTGGCTGACAAATGCAATCGCAGACCACGAAAAAATAAAAAACCAAGTAAAAAGCAAGCGTAACGCCGAAAAAAAACCTAATTAGTCATATGAGCTGTGAACCCTGTAATTATAGCTACCTGTTAAGGCATCGGATTTTCATAATTTTTGGCAATTTATATGCAACGCTTGGCTGCATGGCGACATGATACGATGGGGAG